AGTAAGCAAAATCTTGTGAACCGGCGTCAAAAGGCTTTCTTGAAACGTAACGGTACTTATAGAGATTATTTCCGACGAACGGTGCTTGATGTAAGATTCTGAGAAAATTGCTGAATTCGCGCTACGTCAGAGAGCATTGATTCTGATACTATTATGAAGTTTTCCCCCAATGTCACTTTTAATTGAACGATTGTAGACACAAGTAAGGCAGCATAGAGTTAACTGTTGTAATTTTGATGAACAGATAAACATTTGATTAAGTTTCCTTATTTGTTTGTAATTAATACTGAAGTAGGATTCACGTGGTCTAACTTGGTAATTTGTACCGACTTTTCTTGAACTTTTTAACATAAAAGGTATTTGGTTATAGTACGTATCTATATTTACTACTCTGTGGTTACAGTCACATAACTACTTATGTAGCTACATGTTTATTTAAATGTAGTCTATAATATAAAAATGAATCGTTGAATGTGTTGCTAAGCGCAAATCTCGAGAACAGCTGAACCGATTTCGATAATTATTTTTTTAGCATATTCCTTGAAGTACGAGGATGGTTCTTACGCAGAGAAGAATTTAAAAAATGCCTGAAAAAATCCAAAAACATCACTTTTCTATATATATATATACTAACGATTCGTAATAATATTGAAAGTTAATTTGAACTATATACCACACCATAAAGGACAATGGGCAAAACACACCCAGCTCCGCCAACAATGTAATTAGTATGAATCTATAGATCTATGAAAAACTAGCCTTTTTTATTATGACACCGTAAAAAAATATCCCGGTAGTCAAAAGATATGACACATGGGCATATATAAGTAGCTAAATAAATTAATTTTATAGTACCTTCATTTTATATTACTAGTAACCATAATAATATGCCATATCGTACTATACAACCAGATATACGACAAAGCCTGCCAACCATCCTGCGCTTGCACTTACTGAGCTACCACAAAACGGTTTACGGGGGTTGAAGGACTTGCAGTTGCAAATAGTCGACTCGTCTTACTTCGTTGTGATTGTGTGCTCCCTTTTACTTGATTGATTTTTATCTAACACGCTTAGGACATTGGAACACGATTATCGGTTCTGTCAATTAGTATGGATGAACGGGAATCATGTTTTCTCCGAAGCGTGGACAAGTTTGTATGATTTATGGTCGCTCCGTTTTACATAGAAGACAATTTACTATAACGAACATACTGTTTGAAAAAAACCGAACCCATGCGGGGATTTTTGAATTTACTCTAGCGCGGCAGAATAACATAAGGGGGCACCCCTGCACCTTGTGAAGTACTCCCATAATACCTGAGCCCTCTATGTATGGTCGAAGTAAGTAACAAAATTAATTCTCTTGTTTCATTAATGTTCATTCGTTATAGTACTTGTTTAACCTAAAATAACTAAAGACCCCCGGGATGGAATTTGATGCGCTTTGGCACAGATGATCATGACTATAATACCTTTCAAACAAATGTAGTTTAAGCCGTGGCAGACGTGGGTGCAGCGCATACATTTTTGCCCAATGTCCTTTCAAATGTTAGTGGAGAGGTTCTGGGAAGGCAAAACAATTGAGTGACGTGATGTCAAAAGATGTTTGGAAAAGGCAAATATACTATTTTCAGATTTTTTATAATTATATGAAGAGTCATTTTAGTCTACACTAACAGCTCTACACCGAAGCGAAGCGAGGGCGGGCCACTAGTTATAATATAAATAAATAAATGCGACTATAACCAAGTCGTATTTTACTTACTACTATGTTGCCATAGTTACATTATTTTCATTATTTCGCAATGGTCCATATTAAAATCATGATTTTTGCACTCTATTCTATATTGCTTTTACTGTAGCAGTGGTCAAAGAAAACAATAGGTAGTAAATGCTCATATGACGATTTTACGATTCGGGATCACATCGGTAATATATCGGCCAAATTTGAACTCAATTTGATAGATATTGCTGTTGTATTTTAACTTTCATCCTTTCGTTTTATATACACTTACAAAGAGTAATAAGTGACACATTTCTTTCTCGCACTATCCGGAAATGGAACGCTGTGCTATGCGCACTCTCAAAATCCCTCTCTTTATATACACCGAGGTCCTTTAAAAGAATCTTAAAAATGCACCTTACAGGCCGATAAGGTGACCCGGCGACTGGTGCAGGAGTATTTTGGGTTTTTACTGGGTAGGGCCCTGCTCATTTTATCGAACCCTTGAGCTAGGTGAAATGAGTAGGGAGGAGTCCACAGATACACTCGTCTTGCTACTCCTGGCGATGAAGGCGTCATGACTTTACCAAACATGAAAAAAAGCCCGTAATGGTGAGGTCTGATCTGTCATGTAAAACTGCTGCAACGGCTATCTTCGCGTCTGAAAACCGACGCACCGAGAACCACATAACATCAGTTCAGGTGATGAAATTTGCTTGGATATAATATAAAAATTTATGATTGTGTAAATAAAGCTCCCCATCTCTTGATATTGTTTTTAGTGAATATTATGGGCAAATGGAGTAATTGGTGACGCGACTTTTGATGATGTACCATACCACCCGTTGATTCAATTATCGACGATTCGAGGCGACAAACGATGGCTTTTATGAGCAAGTTCATTGGTCGATTGATTAAGTTTTTATTAAGAAGGTTATTCTTGGAATTTGTAGAAAAATACCTACAAAAGGTGAATGAGAAGTTAAAAGAGTTTAGGTGCTTAATGATGAGTGTCGTAGCTTGAAAATAAGATACTTTTAAGCACATTGTTAAAAATAGCTTTTTCACCATTTTACAATTCGGAAAGGCTAATCTTATTACAAGTCAATAAACCTTAAATGTATGCCTACTACAGCCTGTCTTATTAAAAGCTAGGTACATAAACAGCAAAAATTTTGACAATAAAAGCTAACCCCCACGAATGTTATGTGTTACAAACATCCGTATTTAATTTATAAAAGAATTATTATGTTCGAACTTCAATTGTGAAAAAAACATAATAACATTAGGTATTATTATAAAACAAACAATCGAAAATATCCATCATATCAAATACAGTGGCTACGTTTCAGTAGTGTTGCATTACTGCAGTAAATAAGGGAACCAGCCAAGCATCATATCGCGTTTCGGTGCACATGCTAGGGGGGTAGAACCACCCTTTATTTGAGCTATTAGTAGCACAATCTTAAACCATATCGGAGGGGAACCCATTTAACTTTAGCAATGAATGCTCAGGGCCATGAACGTAGTTAGGGGGGGAATTCCCATCCTAGAATTCCTCAGTATATCGTGTTTCTTATAATTTAAAAAGTCATTTCAGAATGATTGTAAGTTCATCAATCCTGCCCCCTCCCCCCCCCCCCCTAAAATTCGCTAGCTAATGCTCAAGAATGAGTCAAGGCACGTAAGAATATGAAATCTTGTGAAATAAAAATATTGTTTGCTTTAAACTCACTTGTTTATCTATTAAGATGAAATACGACAACTTTTCAGAAGCTTCGTTTTTAGGGTTCCGTAGTCCTGACAAGGAACTCTTATAGTTTCGTCCTGCCGGTCTGTCTGTCCGTCCCCGGTTTTGCTAGGAGACTGTGAGCATAGGGTTACCAACTTTTTTTCTATCAAATATCGTATTTTCGAATCGTTACTTCTAAAAATATACCTAGTAAATAAATTAATTAATTCATATTTACTTTATTATTGAAATAAATATGTTTTTGCTGTTCTCGGCCTTACTAATAATATAATAACACTTTTAAATAAATTTTAAGAAAGCTTTTACTGTCAAAAATATGCTTTAGGCAAAATATAGTAGTTTAGCCCACTATATTTTTTTTAGAAATATAGTATTTATGTTTTTATTTTTTTAAGCATTTAACTGCTAGATGTTTAAATCTAAAGAAAAGTTTACTAGAAAAAAATCGACGCGGACCAGGCAGCAGTATGTGAATTGTGGTGCTCATGCTACGGGGACAGGTGGCTAGATTCATTTCCTGACTCTCCTACAAAACTATAGCTCTGATAAAAATAACATTGTTTAACCTCAACCTCCTGAACACGAGATCTAATTAATGGATAACAAATACAACTATCAGGGTTTAATGTTTATTAGCAATGCATAAAACCCCTCCAATACCGCAGTTTTATAGAGTTAAGGGTATTGTGTTGTGTGGTGAACACTAAAAATGTCCGGAGCTCGATACTCAGTGATTGTGTGGGATAACAGAAAGTGTGTAGGATTGACGCTATCGTTATTTCTCTTGCCTCGTGACAGGTGTGACGTGGGTTTGTGTCTAGCCATATTTATAGAAATATTTAAAAAATATTAAGAGCTCGATGGCGCTAGTGGTAAGCGCGTTCGGCTGCGGGCGTTGAAGTTGAGCAACTTTCGCAGTGGTCGGTCATTGGATGGGTGACCAAAAGTTTACTATCTCGAGCTCCTCCGTGCCTCGGGAGGCACGTTAGGCCGTTGGTCCCGGCTGCAAGTGCAGTCGTTAGCACCCACCAACCCGCACTGGGCCCGCGTGGTGGGTCATGGCCCAATCTCCCTAATCCATCCATAGAGAAGACCTATGCCCCAGCAGTGGGGACAGTAATAGGCTGATGATGATGATTTAAAAAATAAAATTATTTTCTAATGTGCCTTTTTATTATGCCTCTATTGTATATGTAATATCATTGGTTTTATAGTACCTACGTAGTAGTTAAATATATAATTTTGTATATTATTCATGGCTACAGCTTGTAATCGGCCAACTACTACTTGGTCATAGGCCTTTCGACCTGTCGAATAACACGAATCTCCACGAGGGCCCAATAAAAAAAACGGATTAGTTGGTGCTAAGTAACGGCTAAAGATTACAACTTCTCACCCCAATCACAGAGGAGCTCACGATAAATATTTTTGTACACACCCTCTCTAAGATTAGTATTTGCCGCAAACCGAACGTTCTCACTTATTCATTCTAACTTACTATTGCTTTAATATTTCCCACAGGACACCCACTACGAGTGGTCGGAAACAGACATCCTCTCCCACGGTTTCAGTGGCCTGAGCCTCCACAGAACAGACAGTTTGAATCAGCGGCCTCTAGCAGGCCTAAAGCGGACCGGCAGCAAAGGCAGCGCTTACAGCCTACGCAGCATCAGAAAAGACATGCCCAAACCAAATAACCAAATCGAAAGACCTCCTACAATACCTGACGCTGGCTTTGGCACTTTGGAAATAAAGTTGGCTTATGACAACGCAACGTCCTCACTCGCCGTCACTGTTCTGAGAGCTAGAGGTCTCATAGGGATGGACATGACTGGTCTTTCGGATCCTTTCTGCAGATTAGAGGTGTTGCCGCGCGGTAAGTGAATCGGTTGAAAATGTACAGAAATTATGTCTACAATAAATCAACATGGTCTAAGTATGAGGCTTCAGTCATGCAACAGAAAAGTTTTGCCTAGGTAGGGGAAATGAAAGATGTAAACTGAATGCAGAAGTATTTTGGTATAATAAAAATATACAGCGTCTTCAAGGGTTCGCTGTTTATTCTCGCGGTATTAAGGTGATATGGGGACTAGATAAAATTTGTTCAGCAGTACTATTCTGTAAAAAAAAACACGCGCGGAACCGATGTGAACCCGTGCGCCCGGATCCGCGTGTGAAAATTTTACAAAATAGCACTGCAGATATCAAAATCTTAACTGCAAGATTAACGACTAAAGAAAATTATATTTTGACAAGTACAACGCAAAGGGTTGTCGCTCAAGGGCGTCGAGTCTTAGAGGGTGTCAAGTGCCTGCCTCGTGTTTGTCTCGCACCCGGGCGCTCTATTGTCTAACACCGCCGCTAAGAACATTACATTATGACATTGCTTCGTACTGAATTGTTCTCGCTTAACAAACTACCAGCACGGTAATAATATATTATTACCGTGCTACCAGTGACTTCTGTTGAACTACCTACATATATATTGTTTAATTCTTTCAGAGGGCACTTATTCAAATCGTCTGCGAACAAAGACGGTGCACAAAACAAAAAATCCCGAGTTCAACGAGACTGTACACTTCTTCGGTATCACCGAGTCTGACCTCACCGTCAAGTCCATAGAAATCGTACTATTTGATGATGACAAGTAGGTGTAAATTTAAAATCCGTTCTCAAGTTATTTTTAATAACTATTTCACAATGATTCTGTTGTTTTCATGTATGCAATCGAACATACATAATTATGTTACACTTAAATGCCGCTCCTTTTTTCTGTTCTGTGAAATGCTGGTGAGCTTCTTGCGCCCGTTCTTTTTTAGCCAAAAGGTGTTCTGAATTATAAAAATAAGAATTCGAATGAGCTTTTCTATAATCAGGTCAATTTGAATAAAATATAATTTCATGTCACTAAATGGGTAATAGTAAATAATTGGAAGATTCCATAATAAGAATAAAGTTGTTCTTTTATATCTTTAATTATTTAGATTGTTCAAAAGGATTTTTGAAGTTTGCTTCCTATTAATATAAACCTATGCATGTCGGGACAACTTTTCAACAGCGTTTAAGAACATAATAAAGAAACTAACGTCTAATTAATTTGAATGGGCGTTTGTCATGTTGAAATTATTTTAAGATACGGGTGCGATGAAATGGGATCAGCCACGGTAGCGCTAAGGGAATGTGCCAAATCTCCAGCACAACTGCGCCTGGCGCTCTCAGTCTCCTCGGGCTCTGAGCCGACTGGGCCCAGAATCCTGCTAGCCCTCTGTTACAACACTAAGAAAAGGGCGCTTGTCGTGATAGTGTGCCGAGGTGCTGAATTACCTCCGCGAGACAGCAACGGCTACTCAGATCCTTTTGTTAAACTGTGAGTATGCCACACACACAAATCACAATTACCAAAGAAATAGGTTTTTGTGTTGTATTAATAGAAGGGTACTATTAATAAACTTTTAAACGTACCTAACCCTGTTACACACAGAGATTTATCTTGTGACCGGAAATAGTATGTTAAGGAGATTTGAAGCTTTTTTTCTGCTTATTCTAATTTATTTAAGCTACCGAATTTCGGCAGATTGACTCAAATTTGGCCGAAGCGAAGTTTGGTAAAAGCTGTCGAACTTCAGTAATACCAAATTATTATAATCGGATAATTAGTATGGAACCATTTGTTTGCGAATCCGACTCGCAATTGACCGGTTTTTATTGTTGTGTAAAGTCTTGTATAAGGACCAACGAAAAAGGTCTCTCATTATCTGCATGTCTCTATTCCGTTTCTTTTACTTTTAATTCAATTCAATAACAGGCACCTGGATCCAGACCCGTATCACAAGAAACACAAAACGTCTATCAAATGGCGCAATCTCAATCCTGTATGGAACGAGGAATTCTGCTTCGAAACCCGGCCCACAGAACTGTCTAGGCAAAACTTAACTCTAACCGTTTGGGATAAGGACTACGGGAAACCGAATGACTTTTTGGGCAGCTTGATATTAGGAGCCACCAGTAAAGGGAGAAGGTTGAAACATTGGATGGACTGCATCAAGTTCCCTGATCATCGTCACGAACAATGGCATTCTTTAACTGACACACAACATTTGTAAGTGTACCTTTATTATCTTAACCCGTTAGGTACCTTGAGGGGTTTGACGTTTGAAGTCCCCTTGTTGAATAATATGACCGCTTCTGTATTTAACCCTCTCTGGTTTTGACCACTTCTGCTTATGACTACCTCGTAATATGACTTTTTAGATTCGACTATTGCATTTTTATTCTCCTTTCAGTACTTTACTGAAGGATAAAAATAAAGCCAAAGAATAAAAAGAATAATTATGTTGCTGAAAACCAATAATTTTTACAACAATCTTCAGAGATTATGTTACTAATGTGATGATAGGTAATTAATAATTATATTACGAGTTAGGGTATAAAATATAGAAAAAAATATTAATTTTCAATAAGCTGTTCGGAGTTTCGTGTTATTATGAAAAAAGTTCCGTATTTTTGCACACCATAATAAAGGTAGTCAAATAAGGAAGTGGTCAAAAGCGGAAATGGTTCATACAAGAACTAGGCTTGACAAGAAGTGGTCGAATCCAGAATAGGTCATAACTAGAAAAATACCAATGAAAAAGAACTAGGCTGGTTCTAAATGTTAAATTGACTTTTAGGGCCACCTGCACCAAAAATTTAATTGAAATATGGCTAAATCCTATTTATCTCATCATTAAAAACTGTTTATCGTCAAATAAAGATAGAATGAAGCATATTCATATTATATAGCTTTGGATTATTATCTTTGGTGCAAGTGAACATTAAAGTAAAATTATTATAATTAGTACCTATCGACTATTTTTTTAAATATGAATATTTATGTCAAACAACGTTGATGTTTTTCAAGATTTATTAGGATTGTATTGTGTATTACACAAAATACATTTTATATACATAAGTTTTTGAATGAATAGAACTAAACAAAAAAATCACTTTTATTCGAGTTTATGATTCTTTGTAAAAATACAATGGAAGGAGCTTCTAAGGAAGATATGGTGCTATATAAGAAATATAATGAGAAAAACGTTGACTTATGAATGTAAAATTATGAAAGGGATTCACTTAAAAAGAAAATATTTTTTAAATAAGAGAAAGAACAATATTATTATTTTACGAAGACGAATAGGGAAAACTACTGTGATAATAATACTATGTAAAAATTATAAATCCAGTCTTATTGTATATTTTAAGCTAAAGATTATTGCCACAGAATTAAATAAAGGTTAATGCTACAGGTCGCGGCATGTAACTCTAGCGCTGAACAAAACGCGGAGGGGATAGCTGCGCACGCCTACCCGCGCACGCCTACCCGCGCACGTCTACCCGCGCACCTCGTTTCCCCCCAAGAAATCTAGATTTTTCCTTCTGCTCAATAACGTTCAGCGCTAGAGTTTCGTGCCGCAACTTATAACTGCTCTAAATTACTATGAAAGTATCCTCATAGACCTTGATTAGACCACTTTCACTGGTTACAAGAATTTTTGCTAAATATGATTTCTTAACACTATTTACCTATTTCTATTGCGTGATATGAATTCACAGCCTAACTTGAAATTTACACTTTATACAACAGATAGGTATTTTCAATTCAAAGAAACAAATACCTTCGACAAAAGTAAAATTAATGTAATTCATTCCTGTACAAGGCAGGGTTAATTGAGATAATTAGAAGCGGATTCATGGACTAAATGAGGTATTATTTATTTCTTGAAAATGGTTCAAAAAGTTAAGCGTTTGAGATTTCATCAAGTTCGTTAACAGTACAAATATTCCAGTTATATTATTAAGAAAATTAAAACGTCATTATACATAATTAAAAATTTAAATTATGGAGCTCCGAAATCTGTAATTCTGCTGGTTTGCGTAGAAATGAAATAAGTAAGAACACATATTTAATGTTATACAGACTGTAATATTGATAAAAAATGTATGTAAAAATGTTGTTTCTAGGTGTTGTACAATGTAATCAAAATATAAAAAAATATTTTCTATGTGAAAGGAGAACGTTTAATATGTGCCAAATATGAGAAGGGTACCTATGATATGTTAGATATGTGGCTGCCTTTATGTAAGTATCGTTATTGAAATAAAGATTGTTTTGTAACAATGTTTTTGTTTATTTATTTATTAAATCTTCCATTCAAATTAATTTTACAATTAAATACCTATGTACCTACTATTTCATACATTTTCATCATACATACGTTCTTTGACTTTTTTAATTATATACCTACCCAAGTTAGTACAAAATAATACTACCTATTATACCTACTATGATCTATATATATAAAACTCAAAGGTGACTAACTGATTTTTTTTTTTTGTTTCCTCCCAGGCGGGGGAGAGGGTGAGAAATCCTCATGGATACCCTACAGCCGGCTGTAAGGTTATGTCAGACTCTTACTGACTAAAAAACACCCTTTATTCATGCTTATGGCCAGAAGGGCCTTACAAGCTTCATCTGAAGCGATCAACCCCCGAGAGGGGGAAGATGCGGCGCTGCGTTAGTTTAAACTAGTGCATAGTTTAAAATAACGCAAAATGCGCTTAGAGGACAAGTGCACTCAGATGTGCACTTGAAAGACTAACTGACTGACATAGTGATATATCAACGCACAGCCCAAACCACTGGACGGATCGGGCTGAAATTTGGCATGCAGGTAGATGTTATGACGTAGGCATCCGCTAAGAAACGATTTTGATCAATTCTACCCCCAAGGGATTAAAATAGGGAATGAAAGTTTGTATGAAACGTTGTCAATTTTAAACCGATCGGGCTGAGTCTTTGCATGCAGGTAGGTGTAAGAAGAATCATAGATGAATGTCATTGTGTATAATACAAGCCTGAGAACAAAAACTATAGTCTACACTTCAGCTCTACACCGAAGCGAAGCGAGGGCGGGCCGCTAGTATACTATTACTATAGTCCTGTCAATGCATGGAAAAATGCGAGAACCTTGCAATTCTGCCAAACAGCACCAATTTACGCCGACATTTTGATTTGGTTTTGCAAAGGAGATTCTCAGCTTCCATACATGTTTGGCCTAAAGACCAATAATCATGAAAAATTGTTTCCTAGATTCGTAATTATATATAAATTACTGTAGAAACGAATATTATTGACGGACACCCCTGAGAACTTCTATAAACCATTAACATGAATGATTTTGAGGTTGTTTGCAAATAGGTAATAGGTATTAAAATAATAAAAAAAACAATTAAATAACGAAATTATGTATTAGATTCAGGTATATAAAGCATGTAGATTAATAGATAGTTGCCTGTTTTTAAAGTTAATGCATAAGAGTAACTTTTAAAATCAGGTATCATTTAAGCATTTCCGGTTATACTAATAAGGTACTCTGTGACAGAAAATGTGTGTTATTTTTGAATGAGCCACAGATTAGAGAGAATTTTTAAACTCTCGTTAACTAAAGAAAGCTTATTATTTCTGTTATGTTAATATTATAACCATGTTTTAGATTTTTAGTGTATCACACCTTATAATGTTTTTATGGAGGTGTTTGGCGAAAAATGTATGGCAATAGACTTTATGATGTCGCCTACCATCTTTAATAGTTGTCTTAGCACATTTGCATGTAGAAAAAATGATAATATACTTGTGGATATTAAATACCACAGTGTAATAAAAAAAATGATTTATTTTATCGATCTTTACATTATAAATTTGTTTTGATGTTATATAAACAACTTTGATCACTCTTTGGCTGAATGTTACTACACCCATAGCCATTAAAAATGATTCGTATGTTTTCCAAACCGGTAAAAATATAAGTCCTTTTTAAAATAAATATATTATACAAAGGTGTCCGTTATAATCTAATGACTATAAAATAAATTATAAATTACGCCAAGAATTACCGTATGTGTCAATATTTTTTGTGCATTTGGGCCAATTTGAGCAATCACCTTTGTTAATGTGTCGAGGGTGCAGCTTCCCTGGGGGTGGATGCTACCCCTTCTCGGGGATGATTTTTTTTATTAAATATAAGTATGGTTTCTTAGCAAATTTTTGTTCTATAAAGTTTATACTGAAAGTGAATACTTTTGACGTGACAACGTCTTAAATTAGGTTGCGGCTGGGAGTCACTTATGAAAAAGTGTAACGCTCGGTAACGTTACGATGAGTCTCTCGTGTTAAGTTTAAGTTTACATGTACAATGTTTTAGTAAACAAAATATATTTCTATAGTTAAAATTTGTGCAATTCTTATTTTCATTCAATTCCTTGTTCCTATTGTGCAATTTAATTATATTCATATCAATAAATATTCTACCGAGAAAAAGACGTTGTCACGTAAAATCTTCGCCCGTAAAACCGACTTTACAGGCAACCATTTTTTTTTTTGTTATCGACTTATTCGAGAGCGAAAATCTAATTTTCGTACCATTTGCTCAAAAAAGTGACATTCTATGCCACAAAAAGCGAACATAACAATAGTCATTTTTAATCTGTTAAAAACAGGGAAAGAAAATTGTACTTAATTTCATTCATCCTCTAGGGGAGAATGTGATTTAAATTTAAAATACTTACCGAAATTAAATTTATACTGAACTACATCTGTGTTAACACCATTGAGTTTGTATGTAAAGCATTATACATCTTTTTATCATAATCATAATAATCATAATCTTTATTTGCTAAAAACACGGTATATAGGTATTACACAACGGTTTGAGCACGTGTTTTGCCATTTTAAAAATAGCATGCAAATACATAATATCGTCCCTTTATTGGCAAAACCAATTATCTACCAAAAACTGAACTTGTGGCAATGATGATTTAAAAGTTTGACAGAAAAAATATGTAACTAAATTTCATATATTTTAACTGCAATCATGTAATTTTAATGAAAAAATTAATAAAGTATGTTTGTAAATCATAAAAATAGTAGTAATTTATTGAAAATGCTTGAAAAAATGCCAAAACCTATCTTTAGGGAGGTCATTTAATTGGTTGTTCCTGAATAACTTTTTCGGCGGTAGGAGTAAAATTAACTAGACGTTTTTAAAAATCATCATCTTTTTATTTTAATTTTAAATAGTAAAAGTATCATTTGGTTACCTTTTTAGTTCCAAATTTAGCAGCTAATACAATAATAGTCACTATATATTGTTAGTGGCATACTCCATGCAATAAATCCAATTTTAACTGCACTTCACTGCCGGCTGACATTGTTCTTTGCACTGCATTATAATTTTTCTCAACTGACTTGAAAATGGCCACTTTGAGTGATATACATAATACTCAAAAGTCACTTGAATCCATTCTCCTGAAGAAGATGACAGAATTTGAGGCACAACTGAAATCAACAACGGAGCCGTCTTCGGTTGGTGTCCTTTACGAAGAGTTCAGAAACTTCAGGGAGACTGTTTCAAGCATCTTCAGCGTCCTTCAACAGCAAATACTGAGCCTTACTCTTTCTGTTGACTCCATTGAAGCTAGACAGCGTCGCAAAAGTTTGCTTTTTTATGGTGTGCCAGAGGAAACCAAGGAAAACACTAGTGACCTCATAGTTCAACTAATTCAGGAGAAACTCTCTATTGAGAATGTTGGACCTTCTCATTTCAAGGCTTGTCACCGTCTCGGGGCTCGAGTTGAGGATCGCCCTCGTCCTATTCTTGTGAGGTTCACAGACCACACAGCAAAGACTTCAATCTGGATGAAGAAGACCGCTCTTAAGGGCACATCGATTGTAATCACCGAGTTCCTAACCCGTAGAAGACAGGCTTTGTTCTTGGCTGCTCGCAAGAGATTTGGCATTAAGAATTGCTGGTCCCTTGATGGTGATATTTTCATCAAACAATTAGACGGGACGCGTCGCAAAATTGTTTCTGAGGAGGAGCTTGAAGCATTAAGCTGCGATTCCAACGGAAGTCATCGTAAAATTGCCGCCGAGAGGGACCCTCATGCATTGGGTGGTGACAGCAATGGAAATCGTCGCGTAATTGTCGCCGAGGAGGATCCTGAAGCATCAAGTGGTGATACCAATGTTTCAGCTCTTGTTCCTTGTGCTACGGGTAAGCAAGCTTCTATCGCGTCGCGCAGCAATCGGGACGGGAATGTCGCTTCGCATCATCAAACCACCATAAGAAGTAAGCGGAATGTTAGAACTAACAAGTAGTTGCATTATTGTTTATTGTTACTCAGCTGAATCGTTTTAAAGTTTATTTTTATGCCAATTGCTTTACTTGTATTGCATTATATTGATCATAGTTTTCTTGACCGCTTTTACACGCAATGACAATGGAGGTACCGCACATTTTTCTTTATTTGTTGCTAAAATAACTTAATTTGACCCTCTTTATTTTCGCTTTTATTGGCAGACACTATAATGTTTTCTTTCAATCTGACCACAGACTACGAAGAGATTCTGTTTTTGACGTTTCATTAGCTTGACTTTTGTTATTATAAATTTTACCCGTTTGAGAAGGCAAAGTGATTTATAAAGTTACAGCCAATTTTAAAGTTGTTACTGGTGTCGATTCTGGCATGTTTCTCTAAATCTAAACTTAGATTTGACAGCGGTGTATCCTTGTCATTCTCTGTACAGAGTGAAAGGGAGGGACTGATGTTGGGTTTGGTTTTGAGTTTGGAGAATCACTCCAGAATCGACACCACTGTTGTAATTTATTTTTAGTAAATTTTTTTTACATATTGTTTTTATGTATAAATATTAGTTATATTTATCATATCATAGAAGGGAATGACTGATTAGTTTTAAAAAATGTATGGTTGTTAATTGCGGTACTCCATAAATATTTATGTAATTCTCTCCATAAGTTGTAAAAATGGCATAAATCAATAATGTATTTGTTTGAGCTTTTGTATAGAATTATGTACAATTGGTTATTTAACCCCCCGTTGATTCAGCTCGTGAGTATCTTTTCTATTTGTAGTGTATTTTATATATTTTTTTTTTTTTTAATGTTATCATTTGTTTTCATCTCATTTTGTTACTCAATCTTGTCAGCCGGCAGGTGAGCGATTACCGGCATTAGTTGCGTGTTCAAGTAGTAATATATAAAAATAATTTACCTATATTTATATTAGTATATGTATATAGCTATATATATTTTA